CAAAGTTTCAGAATGGCGATTTTGACTTGACACGATCTGCCGATTTTTGGCGAAATGGCATGCCAAATTTGTCGAGAGGTGGGAAGAGATAGTAAACAGAAACGGCGAATACATCATTAGTTGATTCATTGCTAAAACCATTGATTTTTGTTAAGTAAAAGTTTTTGGAAAAAAAACGCTACGAACTTATTCCTCAACCTAATAGCATCGAAAACTAGTTGAAAATTGACTTGGATGAAGGCACAGAAATAGTTGAATATTCAGAAATCCGATCTAGATTATAAACCTACCGCGAGTGGTGTGTAATCTTGGAACAATATGCTGTAGCTAGACTGATGCAAAAGAAACATCTGCCTGCACGTAGTTTCATCCAGTAGAGGTAAGCGTTTATACAGAACCACACTCATGGCAGCCGGAAGCGGAGCTGGTAGATACACTGGGCGAACACCTGTGTACATGTGAGCTGTCCTGCAAAATAAAGGTTTAGAGTCGCGGGCGATTGTTCACAAATTTCAGTTATAGACAGAAGTTTCATTTCTTACTGGTGTATAGAAAGTCATCATTTTACTATAATCAAGAATTGAAGTTGATATAACAGCAATTCTTGTGCAAATGGCTTAGTTGAAATCTAGTAATTTGTCAATGAGGTAATACTTACCTTGATTTTGAGTTATATTGTTAAGTATGGTTTCCGTTGAAATACGGAAGAAAGTAGGATAGTTCAATTTTGGTGGGGATAGTCCGCTGTGATGTTATTAAATTCGTAAGAACAAGTGTCGGTAAGCATTGCCGAACTTCTCGAAATGTTTTCTAGGGTGTATATGAGCGTGAGGGCTATGATAATGCAATGCCACATTAAGTAGTGATGAATTTGAATGCTTGTGAGGGAGCGAGCGAAAGTGTACACCCCATGAAGGTTTTATAATTTCCATAGATGGAATATACGCAGAAAAAGCCCTGCTGTTTGGGAAAAGGAGTGGCTGAAGCTGGACGTACATAAGTTCAAATTTAGTCGAGGGTAAGAAAACACTTGGCTTCCACTCTTCTAAATTAGTATGGTTTTGAGAGATGATGGCTTTTTAGGAAAGTGATGCAAAGGTTAAAGTGTTTTGAGAACGCAGCTGAAAATTTTTTTTGTCTTTTTTTATTCTTGCAAATGAACGCAATTAGTAAAGCAGCCTGCTAGAAAAGCTCTCTGGAAAAAATTTACGTTCACACTACATCAGCATGAAATGTGCTTTTTTAGGAGCAAACGTTTACCACCCATACGGAATATAAGGTAGAGAGAAGTTTTGAGATCAATTTAGCCAGATGACATTCTTAACTTTGGTTTACTCCAAAATCCTTTCCTTTAGAAGTCGTTAGTTTCCTTTCAGAAGATTCTCTGACACCAGTGCAAATAGTCCGAAGACTACATCTCTGTTCCCTTCACAAAAATGACCAAGCTGTTTGCTTAGTCATCAAAAGAAGAGCATTTTGTAAAAATTTTATGTATGTCGTGCATATTTTAAAAATATTATGTATGTCGTGCATATCTAAGGCGAACACAAAAGATAGTGGCTTAGAAATATTTTGGGATATTGAGTGATTTCTCGCGAATTCTTTTTAACGCTTATTTCTCCGCATTTCTGTTGTAAATTGACCAGATTTCTCATATAGCCGAAAAGTTCTTTCCTTTTCCTACTCGTTCAGGACTACATTATACTCGGCAATTATCGTCAACACCTCTAGTTAACAACCCACGCCATTCACGAGTTGCTCCAAAAAGGTGAGCCAACTATGATGCGACGTGCGTGTCCTCAGGGGGAAATTAAACGCGCTTTATTAACTCTTTAACTCCACATTTCTGAGCGAACAAACAATGAACTGATACCAGTTTTGGGATAAAAATGAGTAAAAGAAGTACAAGAGTTGTGAGTAAAATCTCAAAAACTTGTAAAAATGACAAAATTGTCTAAGTTTTTGTAATTTAGGTACTAACAGAACCTATATAGGCTTCAGACCACTTTTAGTATTCTGAAGTGAGCTTGTAGCACAGTAACTAAATCGAAGCAGTTACTGCTTTTTTTGCAGGAGTACCATATCGTTTTGCCTCAAGGAAGAAAACGCGCTTCCAGAACAGCGTTGCTGTACTTACCCCATTTGCATATGCTTTTCCGAGTAACAAAGAGGGATTCGTATTTCCTGGCCTTGCAAGAAAGAAGTCGTTCTCAAAAGGATAAACTGGAACTCTCGGAAAAGGGCCGAGACCTAGCCCTTTTCTATCTCCCCGCGCTACTTGGTTTTGATTTGGTTCTGAGCCGAGAATTGAAATGCTACATCGACAAAAACAGCACTTTTAACGCGTAGGCTTTTTCCTAAATTTCCTAAAGTTTGGTTGAAAATATAATTTATTTGGAGTAATAAGTAAGTCGATCAAAATA